TACACCCTTGTCTGCGGTGTCAGAGAGACTACCTACCCCCCTCCTCGTTCTTTTCTTTCTAGATGAAACTACTTAAAAGATACGACTGTAGCCTTACTTCTGCAACCTCATACATATTGACATATATATGCATTAACCGCTATGGATCGAATTGCACTCCTCTTTGTAAGGGAAACCACCGTTTTAAACAGTGTGCTTTATACAAAGCCACACACATACATACATACATACATACATGTATATATATATATATATATATATATATATATATATATATATATATATATATATATATATGAAGAACTATAGTTTTAAGTTGTGCTAAATTTATGGGATAAAGTGCTCAATATCAGAGATGGAGCGTATGTAAATATAAATATAAACGTGAATACTGAATGAAACAGCCTGTCGCCCTGAGTCAATTCACGTTTATATTTATATTTATGCACACACACACACATATATATATATATATATATATATATATATATATATATATATATATAGAGAGAGAGAGAGAGAGAGACCGCCTCGAACTGAAAATTGCGAAGCCGAGTCTGAACTCCAGGTGAGTTCGTTACATTTGCTTACGTGCAAACACTCTTGGGAAAGGTACAATGCATCTCTTATCCCCCTAAATAGGGTAAATAGAAAGACAGACTGGGTACTATAGCTTTGGGTGGCGTGTGGTCTAGGAGACGGACAATTCTGAATTCAAATACTGAGGAGAGTCGTTTGGAGAGCATGTGACACGCAGCGCACCAGCTCTCTGTAATCGGCTCTTCCAAATGTGTGGTTGATTCTGCACGAGTTTTCACAACTATAATCAAATCATATGTGCACCTAGTGTGATTGTTTAGTTCTGACAACTGAACTGCTGGACCCTTATACGTCAAATACGACGCGAGAGTCTCGATATATATATATATATATATATATATATATATATATATATATATATATATAGCGTCCAAAACTAAGGGACAAAATTTTAAAACCTACTATTTGTTAGAAATAACAACTGTGAAAAGCTGAAATTTTGACAACTGGTAGTCGATATCATCCATAATCACATACTAAAATTTGAATCATTTGCAAAGGATAGAAAAAGAATTATAACAATTATTTATTTATGGATTGGCCACCGCAAAGTCCTGACTTAAATCCAATAGAAAATCTTTGGAAGACGTTAGGAGTGAAAGTTATGGAAAGAAATCCCACTAACACGGAGGATTTGTGGGTGAAGATTCAAGAAGAATGGTCTAAAATTAGTATCGAGGATTGTCAAGAACTGATTCGTTCTTGTAGTCGAAGATGTGCAGCTGTCATTGAGAGCAAGGGCTCATTTACTAAATATTGATTGTACATATATTTTTATTGTTTTTTTGCCGTTTACATTGTTTTTCTCAATTTTGTCCCTTACTTTTGGACGTTCCAAATTTGAAAATAAATAAATAATTGTTATAATTCTTTTTCTATCCTTTGCAAATGATTCAAATTTTAGTATGTTATTATGGATGATAACGACTACCAGTTGTCAAAATTTCAGCTTTTCACAGTTGTTATTTCTAACAAATATTAGGTTTTAAAATTTTGTCCCTTAGTTTTGGACGCTACTGTATATAACGAGTAATTCATAATTATATATATATATATATATATATATATATATATATATATATATAAAACATTTGCCAGGGTTACGTGTTATACACACTACAGTTCAAAAGTTTGAGGAAACCCCTGGTATTTTTTTTAATTAGCCCCAAAACTAGTTGTTTTGCATTTTAAATAAGAGGAAATTATTATATATTGTTTAAAAAGTCAACATGATTTATTAGAAATGTTTTTATGACAAAGAGGGAAAAAAGCATTTTATGATTAAATTTCGTTCTCGTCAAAATATTCTTCTTTAGCTTTGATGACTGCAGTATACATTATTGGCATTCGTTACAAATCTTTCTCAAAGTATAATTGATTCCTTCCTTATTTCATTGACTCGAAGAGACCTTTCTCCTTTTTTTTTTCATTCTTCTGTCAAGTTCATCCCTTGAACATTCTGGAGATGTCTTCAAATTTTGTAACTATATATATATATATATATATATATATATATATATATATATATTATAATATATATATATATATTTAAAAATGATTTAAAATATGGTTATTTTTCTACACAGTTCCAACCATGTTTCAAAAAATAGAAGCTAAAAACTCCTAATTTTATTTTTGCAATTAAATTAAAAGCATTAGTTCCATTTCATCTTCAGGCGAATTTTGGAGTAACTTTTTAAAAAATTACCGGGTTTTAAAGGCACAGCTAAAATCACGTTTCCATGGTTACAGAATATTCTACTCAAATTGAACAAGGGGTGTCTAGATTTTCCTTATGACAGTATCACTGTATCAGTTATTAGCTACAATTTGGTAAGGGGTAGGGATGTATTTTACACTGAAACCTGACATCAGTTGAATAGATGTCGTCTGAATTTTTTAAATCAATTAATTTATAATATTAATGCTCTGTAAATTTACATTGAGCACTATTTTGTAAAAATAAAATATCTATAAGAACACCGGATTTTATATCTTACTGTTCTTTTTTTTTTATTTATATACATATATATATATATATATATATATATATATATATATATATATATATATATATAGATACAAATATTTAAGTAATTACTCTGTTTATAATAAACAGTATTAACAACATTTACCGTCCTGAATGTCCGAGAAATATTCATAGAAAATATGTATCCTATACGGAACCGTCACATAGCCTGACGTGCCTTAACCGATTAGGCCATAGAGGAGCGTTCGGTTTTAGCCAGGTCGATTTTAAACACAGTTCTTCATGATTTTCTTTCATGCATTCATATCTGCTCAATGCGTATCCAAATGTAAATAAATGACGTCACACATTATATATATATATATATATATATATATATATATATATATATACAATGTATACATGGGGAAGGTCTTAATTTTTTTATTTTATGATCGGATGATTAACATAAATGAAAATAAGATAAGAGCAGTTAGAATAGGTTCCGTGTGTGTGTTTACATATATATATATATATATGTGTGTGTGTGTGTGTGTGTGTATGTATCTGTGAGAGAAAATAATGATCGTTACTTACCACTTCAAGCTGAGTGCCCCGCCATATTCCTTACTAGATTGAAAACGTTACTGCATTTGCATCCTTTTTGTATGGAATAGCTGATGAACCGGAAGTTATACGCGATTGGACTATAAATTGCCAAAAAGATTCGCCGTGTGTGATTAAAAAATGAGGAAAGCCTGGACCAGTTGAGTCCCATTTGTTAGAAGCAGAGGTCAACTTTTTGCATGTAGAATTTCTATAAATTTTGGTTATTTTTGTCTAGTTTTGGACATTTTCTAACTTTTCTTTTCAGTTTTCAATTTGGTATTTTTTGTTTATTTTTATATTTTTTGTATTTTTAAGTTTTTTGTATTTCTTGTTTTTATATTTTTGTAACCCCGTCTAGCTTGAAGCGAGTTTATATTTTTCGTAAATAATTTCTGTTTTTCTTTATTTTAGTTGTAAGCCATTTTTTTAGTTTGCTGTAACTGTTTTTGTTTTATACGGCTTCCCCGTCCCTCTTCCGTTTTATTTGTCTATCTTTAATGTCTTGTGTGCCGACAGTGATTTTTGGTGCGAACATTTTAGTATTTTTGCTGTGTAGTATTTTTGCTTACCACCATAGCAGAATCTCTGCCGCCGGATTAATCTGCATCCCCTAATACGTTTTCATTTGAAAACATGACCAAAAAAGATGCGGGCTTTTATACAGAATTACAAGCTAAATATGAACCTTTCACTAAAGGAAATGAGTTCCTAACTATTCCTGAAGCTTTGGACGTTGTGGCCACAAGAACGATCTCCCTGATGACCACCAACGTAAAAACTCGGAAATTAATTAGGGTCAGCAGGGAAACAATAGAGTAGGCCTTGAACGACCTGAAAATTGGTCCGAAAATGCTTGCTAAATGATCTTATGCCATGTTGGACATTCTGCTGCCTACTGAGGAGGAATCCAAGCAGCTGTCTCGAAACATTCTCATGGCAAAAGCGCTATGTTTCCAAATGGAATACATGAGCACCCTGAATTATAAGTGTGACGGTGCATGGGGTGACCGAAAATATCATCAAGAACAGACTGGAGGCCTTTTTTTTTTGCGAGGATGTCTCTCCAATAAGTAAAGCTGCCATTGCCACCGGGCACTGTGTTCTTCAGGTGACAATATCCCACAAAAGCTCTCTAGACATCCGCGACATACTGATTTGCCAGGATAAAAGAATTCTGGTGGTAGTGGAGGAGGATCGAACCCACTGTTGGTCCTGTGGCACCGCGGGGCATCTGTTTAAGGCATGCCTCGATAAGAACACGGCGCCACACTCGTCCAACAACAACAGGAACAACGGAAGCAGTGGAGGATTTGGTTTGGTTTGGTTTGGTTTGGTTTGGTTTGGTTTTACGGCATATCAACATCAATGAGTCATTTAATGCCGACATTTTTTTTCCTGGTAATATTTTTGTTTTGTCAAAAATCTATTTCTGTTAATATTTTTTTCCTCAAAAATGTATAGCTGAAAATATTACTCTTTCAATAACGTATAGCTGGTAATATTATTTTTTCAAAAACGTACAGCTGGCAACATTATTTTTTCAAAAGTGTATTATCAGAGGCCTTGCTGTTGGATGTAGTTTATCGTCATACCCAGGACGCGGATGTAGTTTATCGTCATACCCAGGACGCAGGAGTGGAGGAAGATGCCAAAGCCCCCGATGGTCACGGTGATTGGAAGGATATCGTAAGGAAAGGGCAAAAGGCGATAACCCCTATTCCCCAGCAGGATGTCCCACAGCAAGAGCAGGAACGACAGCAACAAGGACAGGGGAAGCGTAGAAACTGCAAGCAGCAGCAGGAGGAAAAGCAGCAGCAACCGGTTAAACAGCAGTTGCAACAGCCGGTAAAACAGCAGTAACAGCAGTCGGTAAAATAGCAGCTGCAACATTCGGAGAAACAGCAGCTGCAGCAGCCGAAAAAGCAGCAGCGGAAGGAAAAACACCACCACCAACAACAACAGCTACTGGACTCTGGTATGGAGGAGGAGGAAATGCTTCCATCTCGGTCATCCTCTTTAGAAAGTGGGATGGAGGACTGAGAGCAGCTCGAAGTAAAAAAAAATGTTAAAAAAGGAAAAAAAGGCCGGGGGTAACAGGGTGGAACTAGCCATGAGTCACGCCAGTTCTCAATCTACCCAAAAAATACCAACTTAAATAAGGCTAGGAGCCTCCCCACTTCTCCCATTAAGGCTTCAACACCTCTCTATCTTTCCCCCCAAAAGAAAAAAGAACATTTTTCGCCAAGGGGGAGGACATCTGCCGAGTGGATAGGCAGGTGCTTGAGAGGGACCTTTCTTCACAGAAAAAGATTTAAATTAACTTTATATTTAAATTTAAATTAAATTTAAATTAACTTCAGTTGACGGACGATTCCAAGAATTTTAGTGATGCTCCCGAGTTCATTACAATAGCAATTATTGAAGGCACAAAATCCTGCAACTTTATTTCTTTAGCCAAAGATTCCTTTCCGAAAATCTGGTGAAGAATCACCGTATCTTCGAAAAAATATAGTTTTGGGAGGGTCCATGTTTTACTCCACCCTTTGTAAAATGGGACCTTAAGCTCACTTTTCCCACGGACGTTGGCGGTATTGTCAACAACGGATGGATTACGACCGGACCGGGTACTGGTAGCCCAGGACAATCCTTCGTGCACTGTGTTCTGTAGGTTTTCGATCAGTCTGTGTCTAGATTTTATCTGATAAATGTCTGTCATATTGGCATGCTTGAGTGCGAGGGGCTTAAGGGACTGGGGTAAGACTGCCCGCCTGCTTCGAGACCTCATGTCTTTCGGCGTGGATGTGGCCGCGATCGAGGAGATGCAATTTGTTTGCGAAGCTGATGCTTGTGTACTGTCTAGTGAATTTTTCGTCTATTCGGGATACGGGGACCAGAGAGACAAGGGTGTTTCTTTGTTGGTTAAACGTACCCTGGGCACGAAGATGAACGTGTCCATGTCGATGCGTTGCTGTTGATCGTAAGCAGTAATTCATTCGTTGCGGTTTATGCACCCAACGATCAGATGGAGCGTATCTTCTTTTTCTGTCAGTTGGGACCGTTCCTGGCAGCTTCGTCGCGCCTAGTCTTAATGGGAGACTGGATGACGTCTTAGACCCCAAATTTGACAGGGGGCGGGGAGCTAGCGTTAGGTTGGGCGATCGTAGCTTGGTTGATCTGATCGGTGAGTTTGGTCTCGTCGACAGATACCGAGTCGATCATCCAAAGTGGGAGATATGAACGTGGGCTATTAAGTGGCCGTCTACCCAAGTAACCAGCTACCTGGATAGAATGTTAGCAAGAAGAGTCGATATAAAATTGTTAGATAACCCCCACGTTCCACTGGTTAGGTTGTTCGGACAATAGATTTGTTTGTACTCGGGTGGTGTTAGATTCTAGGCCAAGAATGGCTGGACTTTGGATGTTCAATTTGTCCTGACTGGACGGAAGAGACTTTTGGCAACAGATAATTAGATTAGTGTAGCGGGAATTAGTAGTGCAGTTATTGGGAATAGGTGGTGGAAAAGGCTTAATGATCACATTAGGCCCTTCACCATAAAATATCGCCAACAACTCGCCATAGATAAGGCTAAAAAGGTGTAGAAACTCCAGGATAGTCTGTCCCGGGTGAAGGATAGGGGGATTCCCGTGAGATAGGCGTAGCTAGGCAGGCTCTGATGCGTGAGGCTACTAACTGATACCAGAGTCAGGTAGTTATGCATAGGTTAAACAAGATGTCTTAAAAATCCGTGAAAATTGGCGCTGAACTGCGCAAGGAAGATATCCGTCGAGTTTCGGATCATTACACTCGAGAAATAAGCGGAGAGTCTACTCAACTATGAATATCTACTAAAAATAGCGTTTAAATCATAAAATCTGTCTGTTTAATAAACAAGAATTCGGACTATTGTCCTCATCTTTGTCGCCATATTCATTACAACGTTTCGGCCGTCATACGCTCTGGCCTTCTTCAGGAGGTTGGAATGTCCAACTGAACCCTTTATTTCGCTCACTGGGGTAGACTGTTCTAGTTCCACGTGCCATGTTTAATGGATGTCAGTTATCTCCTGTTAATTTCCCTCTGAAAGTTCTCCACTGCCTTAACCTGGTATTGAACTCACACTCTTTGGGTCCTGTCACTGGATCTAACCAACGCCTTTATCCACTGTGCCATGTGTCTATGAGGATCCCAAAAATGTGAGTTCAATTCTTGCTATAATCGTAGTTGACTTTATTTATTTTTGGTCGCAATTCTCTTATATAAAGGGTTTCCAGAAATTTAAGTTTTGCTAATAATTGTCATTTTGCATCACCGTCAATGACAAGAAGGCTTACGTTTCACTTGAACGATCATAGTTCAATCTCAGAACATTTAAAGGAGCACTTATGTCCACGTTCACAGGTTAGACAGATATTAGTCGAAAATACATCAGTGCTTCATCAAGATAATAATAAAAAATAAAAAATATTTTTTTACAGTTTACGGTGTTAATACATAATTAATTCTTGGACTTGAAATAAATAGACATAATGCGTCTAAATTATTTAACCAAACATGCTTAAATGAAAATATGCTGCTTAAATATACCCACACACACACACACACACACACACACACACACACACACACACACACACACACACACATATATATATATATAGATAGATAGAGAGAGGGAGGGAGATAGGTAGATATAATGCTGGATCTGTGTGATTAATGGGAAAGCGTTTGTTTAAGTGCATTGACAAGATAAGCGACTATTAGAAAGTAACTACTGTTATGTAAATAAATATATTCTTAGCTACGGATTGATTAATGAACTTTCCTATGTATACATATATGTCATTGTTTTTCCTTCGTCAAAGAGATTTTTCATATTTTCCAAACAAGGAACAGTCCGAATGCAAGGAAATTTGACGTTTACCAGACGCTGAAATCACTTGCAATAAACAGAAGTAAATACGAAATTCACCATTCTATCGGGAAATTGCCATCTGTTTTCTTTCAATTGGCCTTTTCAATTAGAGAAAATGAGGCTACATTTCCCGCCTTCAAGTCTCATATAGTCGTCTGCTTCACACAAATTTTGCAACCATTAACTATATATTCTCTGATTTCACGAAGCCACAGAATTGATAATGATCATATCGGCTGACCAGCAAATCTTAGATAACCAGACGGTGTTGTCACGAAATAAATAATAAAAGTTAAAAAGAAACTGTTGCCGATAAAGATTTCAGCAAAAATGTGCCTCAATCCAAAATGGCTGTGTACATTTAACCTTTGGTAATGCGGCGCATGTACGAAAAGTTTTTAGATATTTTTTAGGAGAAAATAATATTCGAATGCAATGTAATTCAAATGTTATTATTTACAGACACGTACACATATGTTCGTGATGGTATCCGAAATTTCCGAACATAGCTTAAAAAGAACAACACTGCTTTATGTATTACTAGCAGCAGAGCCCGGCGTTGCCCGGGGATGTAACAGTAAGAGATAGATCAAGTATCGACCATCATAAAGACTGAAAGATAAAATTAGATTTTTTTTTTTTACGAATTGGTCAAACCCAAGCTCAAACAAAAACATTGTTTTCAATCGATTGAATAGAATTTTCTTATAAACAATTGTCTTGTAAATGGAATTTTTAAAACATTCTGAATGTAAAAATAAAGAAAAAACTGTGCAAGACAATAAGAAACACTACCTGCCAAAAAAAAGTGAAGTTTTGTTGAAATTGATTGAAAAATGTAGGAAATCCGATCCCATATATAAATGAACACACACACACAGAAACAACCTGGGTTTTATAATAAGTATAACTCGATATGAGTTGTCTCCCTTTCATTCTCGCACCAGCGATGCCTCTTAATCGTGTTTTTAAATTGATTTCGTGCAAAAACAATTGTTTTTCCAATTTTTCGCGTTGTCAGAACCACCGTAAGGCAATTTTACGTAGTCCTGTGAAGTTTTGTTGAAATCGGTTGAAAAATGTAGGAAATCTGATCCAATATATAAACGTACACACACACACACACACACACAATCTGCGTTTTATAATAAGTAAGATTTAAGCATTTCTTCATTTCTCCTTATAATAGTATATCTATTTACTATATTTAGATCAGGTTTTCGAGTGTTCAAATCACATCGGGATCACCACTTGTGGAGAATTGTAACTTTGAGTAAATAATTATAACCACCCTTATATTTACGTATACAAAGGTCATTAAAAAATGAAAACAAAGACTTCTTCCTTCCACTTTTCTCTGACCAATCTTACTCTATGGCAGTGAGTGCTCGTAAAATGAGAAATAGTAAGACGTGGAAACAAAAAAAATGATATATATGTATATATTTTGAACAATAAAAAATATTAAAAAATTAAAATATTCAGACACACTGGGTTGTATATCATTATTCTTTTGTTTTTATTATTTCAGTTAGATTCCTCATATCCTTATATATTCCTGGTGAGATTCAAACTAATTTGTTGGTTGTTCTAGCCATACAGATAGCGATAATTCGGTGTTTATCGGTTCTGTTGGTGTTATGTCCTCGGCTTTTGGTTCAGTTCCGTGTCTATCAACCATGATTATGTTTTGAACAATAAAAAGATATTAAAAAGTGTATTATATAGAGAGTAAGATTAGTGAATTGACGTCATTTTATATATTGCATTTCACTCAAGCGCGTTGTTTGTTTTTGATTTTGTCGACTTCACAGTATAGTAGGGTCAATTGGGCGCCGTCTTTGAGAAAACAAGCACCATGTCAGAAATTTGGAAACGGCATGCTGTACTGCTTGACATTCGTGCCGGAAGCTCCAATTTCAACATTTCAGAGTATTTGTGTGTCAATCTGAGGAAAGTGCATAGAGTTCGGAAAGAGTTGGATGAGTCTAATGATGATTACGAAGTTGTTTTGAGTGATCACTGGTTATGGAGACATTATGCCTTATGCCTCCATTCACCTTCCCACGAGGCCTTAGACACACGGATGCCTACATCAAGCGCCTTCATGAGGTAGAGCTGCCCTGGATCAAAAGGGTGGCTGCTGGAACACGCTAAGTCTGGCAACAGGGCTCTGCACTATGCGACACAAGCAGGAGAACCCAGTCATGGCTGTCAGGAGTTTTTACAATCACGTCATACTTTACATCTGACCACTTAACTTCTCAGTCTGCGACCCTATGGATTATTATGTGTGGGGCGCAGTTGAGCGAGAGACCAGCAAAATTACTTGTAACACCAAAAATGAACAGAAGATAAGGATTATGGCAGCATTCACCAACTTAAGGAGACCTTCCAGAAGATTTGTAGGAGATTCTGAATTCGTCTAGAGGCCGTAGTTGAAGCCAATGGCGATTTTATTGAATAAATTTACTCTTTGATATTTTAAGATATTTTTTGGTGTAATTTTGATGAATATAACTGTTAAAATTTGACGTCAGTGTTATTTTAATTTTTGCGTAATTTAGACGACTATTTATACATCGCATATACATATATATATATATATAGAGAGAGAGAGAGAGAGAGAGAGAGATGAGAGTGATAGATTGGTAGATTGATAGATGGATGGATTTTCCACTCAGAACAATATGTTTTAGGTGAAAGAAAATAGTACCGGACTTCTATTTAATATCAGTCTTCAGTGAATGTAGGACAACCTTCTCAAAGATGAAGAGACTTAAAGCAACAGAAATGTGATTATGCAGAAGGATGCTGAGAATACTATAGATTGAACATGCTTGTTGGTCTATGAAGTGATGGTAAGAGGAGGAACATTCCCTTATTCTGGCAGAATGTTCCTTTTGTTCCTACCTTCCCATTTTCCTTTCCATATTGGTAAGTGCCATTGTATGAGGAAATATTCGCCATTCAAAGCACACAATTTATAACCTTAATTGGACTGTCAGCTCTTTTCAATCGATCATATATATATATATATATATATATATATATATATATATATATATATATATACACCTAGTGAGCCAGACTTTCTTTTTTTAAAACCTTTTTTCCCTCGAGATTGATTTGATTAGCAAATCAAAAATTCGAGGGTTTTTCAAAAACGAGTCTAGTTATCTATATTTTATATATATATATATATATATATATATATATATATATATATTCGAAATCTCCTACCAATACACTATTCCTTCACTCTCTGTTGTAAATCGACTGGTCTCAATTGTAAAAATCTGAATGCTTGGTTATTAGAAAAAGGGTCACCCCAACATGAAAATTACAAATTAGAGATATCAAAATCAAATAAGTACAACAGTTTAAATATCAGGGAAGTGTTTTAACAGAGAACGGAAATTACGACACTGAAATCCAAAGTCGAATTCAGATAGCGAAAGTCTTAAGAAACAGAAAAATGTCTTTAGTAACAAAGAAAATATTTATTTACATTATTCGGACTGTTATCCTCATCTTCATTGCCATATTTACAACGTTTTTGGCAGTTGTATGCTCCAGACTTTTTTAGATGAAAGAAAATAGTACCGGACTACTATTTAATATCAGTCTTTGTATATGACATTAAATGCTGGACAATTTCCTCACAGACTTTATGCAACAGAAATGTGGTTCTGCAGTAGTATGCTAAAATATCATGGCTAGAACATGTGAGCAATGAAGAATTTTTAAAGAAAAAAAGATCACTTGGACTTAGAGACAGTTGAAAATTCTGGGGCAAATAATGAGGAAAATAGGCTTGGAGAATTTAGCACTCACATCTATCAACAGACTGAGATAGATAGATAGATAGATAGATAGATAGATAGATAGATAGATAGATAGCAGAGACGAACAATGAGTAACTAAATTAACAAGCTTGTGTAAATGGATGTCAGACCAGGCACTGGAAATGATGGTAAGAGGAGGAACATTGCTTGGATCTACAACGGATGTGAATTTGTGGAGAGCCATGATTTCTGAAAGGACACAGTATATGAAAGAAGTACAGAAAGCTTGTTTGATCTGAAAATCTTATTGCAAATTGACCACGAGCTCGAGCAGAAAATATGACTCAGTCGCCCCTCAATCTGGTCGGAGTTGATATTTACTTATAGTCACATCATAATCAGTAACCTCCTTGGAATTTTAAGAAATACTTTATTACGTCCACTGGGGTAGATTTTTCTCATTCTTCTTTCCATGCTTAGGGGAGACAACTCATATCTGTTAATTCTCTATACTTTGCATTTGTGTTGTTGGTCTATACATAACTTTGCCATGAAGGAACCTATGATTGCTAGGAAACCTGATATGTTTTTAATCAATGCTTAATTAAAAATACCAGAACAAGTAAAGTCATATTTATGCTCAAAAGGATATCAAAGAGGGTACGGAACTGTTACATGATATCAATCCTCCTATGTGGCAGTGAATGTAGGACAACCTTCTCAAAGATGAAGAGACTTCAAGCAACGGAAATGTGATTATGCAGAAGGATGCTGAGAATACTATAGATCGAACATGTGAGCAACGACGAAGTTCTAGAGGGGACACTTATAGTTAACGCCAAATACAAACAGTTGGAACCTACCTGCCGAGTTTGTATGAATGGATGGCGGAGCAGGGTCTAAGAAAGATATTTTTTTAAAAATTATTAAGAGCTGCAAAGGACAGAAAATTGTGGAGAGACATGATCGTCAACAGCAGGGACACGGGAAACAGAAGAAAGACATTCCCTTATTCTGCCAGAATTTTCCTTTTGTTCCTACCTTCCCATTTTCCTTTCCATATTGGTAAGTGCCATTGTATGAGGAAATATTCGCCATTCAATGCACACAATTTATAACCCTATACTGAAACAGTAGCAAATTATACGTTTCTCATATACTTTACTTAATAGTCCAACGGCTGAGTGCGCATTTTCCTGAATGCAGTCTCTGAATCCATATCAGATCAGAGAGATCTTTACGCCGATCCGCTGTACGGTGGCCAATTAAACAGACTTGTTCCGAGGACTATTTTGTATGACTACTCCTCCGCCATTGCCGTTATGTGGTCGGAGTTCATCGGGCCATCAAATTACTACATCATGCTGGAAGGATGGAAAGCTTCGTTATTATTGTGGTAGTAAATTGCTGTGAACTTCCTTAACAGAAATTGAAGCGAACGTCCGTGTGTCTTCTGGCGATAGAAATTAGAAGAGTAATAAGGCGGATGATAAATTTACGTGTGAGAGATTGATTTAGATGTTGTGGTTGGATTAAGAGAGGGGGACAAGTAGATAGAGAAAGGGAAAAATTTAGGTAAGTGACATACAATTACATATATATATATATATATATATATATATGTGTGTGTGTGTGTGTGTGTGTGTGTGTGTGTGTGTGTGTGTGTGTGTGTGTATGTGGACCTAAGATTTATATACGCTGAGATAGATATGAACAAAAAGCAGAGATAGATAGATAGATAGATAGATAGATAGATAGATAATGAACAGACTGAGATAGATAGATAGATAGATAGAGAGAGAGAGAGAGAGAGAAAATGAATAAACTGAGATAGATAGATAGATAGATAGATAGATATGAACAGAATGAGATAGATAGATAGATAGATAGATAGATAGATAGATAGATAGATAATGAACAGACTGAGATAGATAGATCATGAAAAGACTGAGACAGAGAGAGAGTGTGTGTGTGTGTGTGTGTTATACACTGATACTGAGGTCTGTACACAGATACATATGGACAAAGGGAGAAAGATTGTGTTTTCGCGTGATGTAATAATTACTGATCTCTCCAAACATACTATCGCTTGGAAACCCTTCCTAGTTGTCAGTATTTGCCTTAAACGAATGACCCTGTGCTAGCGAAAGGTAAGATTCGGATAAACAAATAGATCGCATGGGTAGCACATCTTTTACTTGGACATGACAGTGTTGGTTTAATTAAAATATTCGTCCTATACAAATTTCTTCTTGGGGATGCTTGCGCTTTATAATAATCAGCATTGAAAAAATAGAACACGATTACCGGCTACAGGCACCCAAAACACTGGTTTGTTGAATATAGCAAATGAATGTTGTCGGATGTCTAATGCATAAAGATACATTTTGTGGTGACAACATTCTGACACCATTCATTTTTCTCTTAATTAAACCCCTTCCACCCACCTCTCCTAAGATTCTCTCTGTTAAGGTTTGATCTCCCTCCTTCTCATACTTACACTCTCTCTAAATTCTGTTTTTATTTCTGGAGTTGTATTTTCTGTTTTCTTTTTGAATTTGTAGGTCTGATGAATTGGATCGTATTTACGATTCCAATGTAATAAATTATGACCATGGAATATTAGTGTTTAAGCCTTTTTATTATATCCTTACTCTGTCCTGGACATTGAGTTCTACATGGATTCTTCCTCTTGGAATTTTTATTCTAAAAATATACATGTATGGGTATTTATATATTTTGCATATGTATGTATATTTACCACTAATAATTATCTATCTATCTCTCTATCTCTCTATCTATCTATCTATCTATCTATCTATCTATATATATATATATATATATATATATATACTACAGTTCAAAAGTATGAGGTCACACCTGGTAAATTTTTAAATTGGCTAAAAAAGTAGTTGTCTTGGACTTTAAGAGAAAATTATTATATCTGATTAAAAAAAAAAGTCAGACATGATTTTTTTATTAGAAAATTTATTATGAGAAAAAGAAAAAAACATTTTAAAGTCAAAGTATCCTCCTTTAGCCTTCATTACTGCAGCACACATTTTTGGGCATTAGTAGCAAAATTTTCTTAAAGTGTAAATTTGATAATTGATTTCATTATTTTTTCAGAGACTCTAAGAATTCCTTTTTATTTTATTTTTTTTAAACTCTTCTGTCAAGTTAATCCCGTGTTAATTCTCGGGGTGGCCTCAAATTTTTTGAACTGTAGTGTACATATATTGAACACCTTTCAAATATATGTGCGAGTTTTTGAATATGTATAGATACATATTCCATCATATGTCATCGTTTCCACTCTCAACACCAACATATATATATATATATATATATATATATATATATATATATATTTGGTTGGATAGATGTGAGTTTGTGACCCTGGGTTTCACGCTTTAGCGATCGTCAGACAAACTGATTAATTTTTAAAAAAATTTGGGTTTATGTAGATTGCGTGTATTGGTGTTATTGTGGAAATGGTGGGGGAAACTTCGTCGCTTATGTCATCGTACTAATGCAAACATCGATGTATGCAGACACATATACATACTTGGTCGTCCGTCGGGACTCATACGTATATAAACATATGTGGGCAGTTTCGGATATGACATATGTATGTATACGGGTGGTGCTGTGTCTATACATACGCATTTGTATGTTGAAATTTAAAGATTGGAAGTGTGGCGGAAATGTCTCGTGAATGTCTCGTGAATGTATACATGTCATATTATTTATTTTTCCGCTGAATAATATTTCCTCGCATGTATGTATATACGTGTGGTGAGGTTTGTGTAAAATTATGATAGGTAAAAATTATTATTATTATTTATATTTATTTTTAAATTTTTGAAACAAAATGGGGGTTTATTTGTTATATTTAAAGCTGGTTATTTGTTTGTTTTTGGTGACTGTGTATATGTAACAGGTAGAAATTTGTAATCCTTATTGGTTAATTTATATGGTAATGTTTAATATTTAATGTGCTGGGTGAGAGGGTAGTATAATAACGGGTCTATATGGTATGATGTGATAGTATTGTTGCAAGGGGTTGGAGACAATGATAATATAATTAGCTAATAGTTATTGAAAATTGGTAGAAATTGGAAATTGGTAGAAATGATTAGTAACGGTGGTGGGAGAATGATAAAACCATGAATGTAATTATAGTGGTGGTAGCTTGAACTAAAAAGTGGTTGTTGGTGTTTTATTTTATTTTATTTTATTTTGTTTAATGTATTAATTTATTTTGGTATAAATCCTGATCATAGGTATTCTGTGTAAAATTATGGTAGTTGAAGATTGCTATAATTTTTAATAAACCCAGGGTCACAAACTCACATCTATCCAACCAAATATGTTAGCTCTATCTCTGATATTGAGCGCTTTCTAATAAGTACCGCGCATATAATATATAAATAATTATATATATATTTATTTATATTTATATACACTTTTCACATATATATATATATATATATATATATATATATATATATATATATGTGTGTGTGTGTGTGTGCATAATAACGTTAAATCCTATAAAAGGATGGTTTTAATCGTAATCCGAGTTTCACAAACACGCGATCTTCAGACGACTTGAACGTCCAAATCGTCTGAAGATCACGTGAAACTCGGGTTACAACTAGAGCTGTCCTTTCATAGGGTTTAGCGTTGTTAACTGTTTATCTACGCTTCGAACACTTTATTTTACTGAGTAGGTAAATTTGCTATTGGGCCTTTTTTTCTTTTTTCAGTATTGTCCTTTTTGTTCGAGACATCTGAATAAGAGAATTAGGTTTCAGCAAGTTGTCAGTTGTCAATCAATGCGTATTTAGACAGAAAACTCTCTTTTAGACATGTCTGATTATATAAATTACAGACATTATATCTGCTAATTTTTAACAAAATCCGTTCATACTCCCGAATAACCTTCCGTGTATTGATATTAAAGGATGAAAGAAATGTACTTTCGATCTCCTTCCAAGATCATCTTCAGGGGTGCAAGTAGTACAAAACTATATATTGTTCATTTGTACAAGTATTTATACAAAGCTGTGCGTTGTTATCCATTACCGTAATTTTTTCATTATGCTTTTAAATGCAAAACAGTTGACAATTTGCTGAGCCTTCATTAGAACGGGAAAAATTATACATTGTAGAATTTTTTTCTCTATGTTATAATGCCATGACCATGCGTGCATTAAAAAGTAGTAGGGAAATTAAATTAAAAGAAATTTAAACAGCTATAACACATTTCTGTCATCATTTAACATCAATACACGAAAAGTTATTCGTGAGTATGAACGGATTTTGTTAAAAATTAGCAAGCATATATATATATATATATATATATATATATATATATATGCAATTTTTACTTGGAAAACGAACATCACATGATTTAAGATAGATAAATAGATTGTTCATTTTAGCGTCGCATATTTTACACGAAGACATATGAAATGGTTGTGATAAAACAGGAGATTCAGTGATATAACATTTTTTTTTAACAGAAAGTCCTTTTTGTATGCCAGAGCATCCTCATATTTATTGTGCTTGTCGTTATGTCTCTGCCAGAACATTGTCCGGCTAAAATGGTTTGGTTAGTTGGTTGATTTTACTGTATGCCATAAAATCCAATGAAGAATCTGCAACATTACTGACTTGACCTGGCATCTCGGCTTCAGTCACTTTCCCACCGGCATAACGTAGCTTCCTTTCGTCATTTGCCTAAATATTGTCACTGTAATTGTTCTGATGAGTTTTCCTCTTTGGTAACACAATTTAAGCGCAGTACTAGATTGGTAGTTGGGTCCCATAATTTTAGTTTTGAAATTGCTAGTTGAACCCGTAAGTTCTGTGCTAAAAGTTTCTTTTTCTCACACTTCTCACTTGTGGAACTCTCTCCCAGCTTCTTGCTTTCCAGTCAACGTTGATCTTTAACAGTATAAATTTGCTGTCAACTGTAATATTCAAAAATCTAAATGTAACGTCAGCCGCCATATTGACGATTGACGTTACGCTTTACGCTCTTTACGTCCTGTTATTTTATTATCCTCGGTGTTTCCTTCCCTGTAAATAATCCCTTGCATCCGGCAAGTAAGGTCTCTGATCGGAAGATTGGAAGTTTGGAGGTGGTGGGACCACCTCTTAACTGCTGTTGTTCCCAGGCTCACCGTGACCCGAAGTTGTAGTAACTGTTAGGGTGGCAGCTATGTGCAAGTAGCTAACCCTCAAATTGGGGTCAGAACACTATGGAAGTGTAAAAAATTTTATAGTAAAAATACCAGCAATACATTTTTATAGTAAGAAAAATTACCAGAAATGCATTTTTTGAAAAAAAATTACCAGCAATACACCTTTGTAAAAGAAATAACTGATGCTACTAAGAAAATTAAATTTCGGAATTAAAAACTCATAAGGTGTTGATATGTCGATAAACAAACAGATAAACAAACAATAACCGTTTACATCCTAGTGGATTTTATTACCTTACTTGGGGTGAAATGATTTAAAATAATTTTGCTAGCTTCAAAATATTGGTCGTTTATATATGAGTCTAGAAGCATTTACTTGGTTAGGGAAAATGTAAATACTGGTCGTGTATATTTGAGTCTACAAGTGCTTACATCGTTGATGATGTCATATCTATTCTTTTGTATGTCGATTGACATTTCTGAGTCATATTAGGAGGAAAGACGGCTTGGAAACCTGAATACTCATAGGATGTTTTGTTTATCGGATAGCAGGGTTGAGTTCGTTACACGCAAATGCACTTGCACCTCATCTCCCCTCATCTAATTAGTAATTAGTTTAATTACCTTGCTTGGGGTGAAATGGTTTAAAATGATTTTGTTAGCTCCAGAATAGAAAATATTGGTCATTTATATAAGAGACTATAAGCAATTATTTCGTTCCGGGA